TGATTTGCTGAAAATTTAGGGAAATAATCTTTTATTAATTTATTTTCTTAAGAAGAAAGGAAATTCTGTTGGATAAACGATGTCATGTTTGACTGTATTTTTTATCTTAAAATAATAATATGTAATATAATACGTTTAATAAGCACAATTATTTTCAAAAAGAAACGCACCAAATTACTAATAATTCTGAAGAACAAAAATAATAATTAATACGCAAATATAAAAGCGTGCCAATAAAACAAGAATATTAATAAAAACGTAGGTATACAGGATAACTGGAAAATCGTTCGCAATGCTTCTGAAAGTGATTAGCGACTCAAAATAAAGAACATGAGCTACATAAATGTAGATCTGAAAATAGGTCGTTTACAAATTATAATTACATTTATGTTAAAAAGAATTGTTATTGATTTTTTATAATTTACAATAATAATTTACTCATATTATTTTTTTAACTGCATTTTGGAATATTTTGGCGTTACTCAAGATGCACGTGGAGGCATGTTCTGCTTGGTAACCTTCCAGTAAAATAAAAAAATTTTTAAATAAAAAATTAAAAAAGAGGGATGCTTAGCGGAGTACATCTTCGCATGGTGCATTTTTAGTAATACCAAATTAATCTGAAATGTAGTTATTTATTTTAAACCTCTATGAATTAAATTTTGATTATAAAAAATAAATTACAATTTTTTAAAAATATAAATAGTTATAACTCGAAAGCGACTTACTTCCGGATCGATCTTTATATACATTTTTCTTCCTTCTTAAGTCCCGAATTTCTTCTTGTTGTAGTATTGCCGGCGATTTCCAGACTCCTGTATAAAAGGCAGTATAATTTTAAATATGCATTATAATGTATGCATACATAAACTGCTTTATTAGATTATTCGAAATGAATTATACTTTCCTAATCGTTTCAATTTTTTGTTTTCGAAGTATAGGATTAATTACAGTAGACATAATTATTCCTCGGTAAACGTTGTTTTTTAATTTAATGATTCGATTTATCTTTTATTTGGCACATTTTATTTATATTGTTAAACATAATAATATACTTGAATCGTTTATATTTCCATTCTAAATTTTTTTTAGTTACCGTGTATAGAACGCGTGTCAATTTTTCGAGAAAAAAGCGTAGCATCCAATTTACACTCTTTGCAATATATACACTCTTGAGTTTTTCAAATACAATAATGTGTAATAATATTTTATAAATCATATATGCAAATTAAATAACTGCTTAACAGTTCGAAATTGTTGTTAATAAAATCTTTGATAAAATACGATCTATGTAAAATAATATAGATTATTATATTTACAAGACTATCATTATTTAATTTGTAATTTGATCCTATTAGAATGAACAGAATTGCATGTTTTACTCTTTGTTCTTCCAGCCAAATATGGATGCTACTTGTCTGCGTAATTCTTTCGTAGTCAAATGAGAATCCGCCACTGTGACATTTAATCAACATCTGAATCTATAGAAATGGTAAATATGTAAAATGAGTATCTTATCACAATTGGTTTTGTCAAAAGTTTATTCATAACAATAATTTAGAGGAATTGTATTTTAAAAACTGAAATCTAGTTTACATTGGGAAATTGTTCATCTCCCGGCACTACTACAATGTTTCAATGCGTACAGTGCCATATTCTCCAATTTTAATGGAGCAACACTTCTCCTAGTCATATAATACGAGTTAAATTAATTAAAAAATTCCTCTATCATCATGTATCTTTTTCTGTATTACTGAATTTAAAAACCAAAAAAATTTGATAATTTCAATGAAAAAGGTTTTTATTTTTTACCTTTCTGGCTTTCGAAAAAAAGTTACATAACCGATACTTTTGATGAAATGAAAAATTGACCTCTTCCTAAACTCATTTGAAAAGATTATTTTAAAAAATATTTCATTTTATTGATTAGTAAATTTGAACTAATAATATATTAAAACAGATGGCATAATATCCTTTGTAGAAAAATGTCTTGTATCAGCGGCGAGATTGAATTCTTTTCGAATTCAATACGATCTATAACATCTGTACTTTTCATTGTTTCATAAGTTATCACAAAAATTACAACACAACAAAAGATATTCTCTATAATTTTCTGTATAATTTTATACTGTTAACCAGTTTTATGTGATCAGAAGAAGTTATATTTATTACAAATTGTATAATATGTAAGATTTATCTTTACGTGACATAAACAGGCCTATATTTACATATTATTATAAAAAGATAGAAACTGTACCATTTAAAAAACAGAAAAATGCCATGAAATACATAATTATGTAAATTCAAAGTGTACGTCCTGTGGAGAAATCAAATCAAAATTTGCATTTTTTGGATTCAGTATTAATATTATCAATTCGTTAACATTTACATTTGTAATTTATTTATGTTATACATTTTGTATAAAATTAATGTCTTTAAAATTGAATATTGTAATATAATGCTATATATACAGAAATTAAATCACATAATGTAATATGCAAATGTTGACAGATATACTGCTTGAGTGTCCGATCATAAATTTAAAGAACGGTTGAAGCAATTTGAACGAAGAAGTTAATTTTTTTCCATTTTGCAATTTACGTACTAACTAATAAGAAATTATTTAATTAAAATAAATGAATGAACGTTTATTAGGAGCAATTCTGATAGTAAATCTATTGCACATTATACATGCATGTTAAATACGCTCTAATATTTCGTTACCAACGAAGTAAACGCAATCGTCGCGATACGTTTAGTAGCGGTCTCTTCTTTGCGTTTACATACATTCATTATTGAATCTATCATCACAAATTCCGTATATAAGCAATATATAAGCACAAAAGTATTTATCATACTTTTTGCTTATATTTCACATACAGGAAATATGATGCTGCCATATTATATAGAAATTTTTAATATTTATATAATTGAAAAAAGCTTAAATATTTTGTAATTTATCAGTTTGTTAATAACGTGAAACATAGTTTAATATTTATTACATTTTTTGTAACATAATATGTATTATACTTTTATTGGAAGTTAATATTTAATTTGCATACCTCAATCATTTCATGTTAATGTTATTTGATATAAGAAAAGTGAATAATTACTCAATACTGTGTACTTCTTGAATCTCATGTCTCTCCGCTGGATGTGATATCTGCGTTGCAGCTTCTTGCCTTTTCATCTTTATTTGTTCCACTATTTCTCGTAGAGCTTGATGTCCATGTTTATAAGATTGTGAATATGTTAAATTTTGACTAAAAAAATGTTTCGGTATAAATATTTAAATTAGAAATGAGACCGTTTTTTGAGTAAATCGAACTACAAAGTAACACCAATTATGATCAAAAAAATATTCGTTTTATACCGATGGTTTTGGTACCAGTGGTCTCTTAGAGTTATCAAAATTTCAGCATACAATTGATTGTCTTTTTCCAAATTTTCTGAATAATCACACTCAGAGCAGGTTGCTAACGTTCCATCCGTTATTTTGTAATTTCGAAATAAGATAAATACACATTTTACATATTTTATGTCATCGTAAATCATATTTTTCGGCCCGTGATAAATTTCCCAATGGTTTCTTATGCAATATGACTTATTAGCATCATATTTATGTTCGTAATTCTTATGTATTTCACAAAATAGTTCTTTTGTTTCTTCATTTAATATCATTCTGTATCGTTGCAGTAGCGTTTTAAGATCTTCCGTTTCTATACTTCTTAGAGTCTTTTCCATTGAAACTTCCTTATCAATATCTTGTTTTTTTTTGTTTATTTCTAATTGCATATTTTCTTCTTTTTCTAGCTCACTTTGTATGAATGCTTCGTCTACGGAACGTAATTCTTGTACTTCTTCTTCTAGTATGTCCGAATATTTGCTGTGAAAGCCATAAGATTATTATTAAATATAGTTGATTAATTTTTGTATTATATTCGTTACGTTCCGTGTCAATTTTAAATTAATTGTCTATAATGATTAGAAGATTACCAGTGACTGCAATACGAACATATGGCACGGAATTATTATGTATTAATATATATATGTAAATTATATGATTACCATAACGGTCATTACCAAGAACTTAATTTATTACAAACATCTTAAATGTTATATAGTAAAATATACTTAACATATATTGGTATGTATGACAAAATAATGATTACAGAAACTGTACTGAATACTTATTTTCTTACACAAGATATATACATATCAGGAGAATTTGTATAACTTTAATTTATATAATTTATATAACACTAATTTCATGAAGAAATACTCAATTTCAATTCTATTTGCAAAATCTTTTCTGTTTTTCGAATTAATAACGAAATTGTAAAAACAAAATAAACAAAATGTATAAAATCAACTATTCATACTTTTGAGAATGATAAATATGAACAATATATTTTACATACTCAATATGTGGGATCAAGTGTCTGCTTAAGGCCGCAAGTACTTCAGCAGTGTGCGAATCCAAACCTTCCAAGGGTATCTGCGTCCGACAAAATGAGCATTTCGCAAATTCGGTGTCCTCTATTTTGTAATTATTCAGTATTTTTCGTCCAATCTATTTCTACTGCTTTTGCAAAAAAAAGCAGTTTTTTGTCGTCTGTATGATGCGTTATCGTATGGTTTTCAAATGGTAATGCTTTACCAAATTTACTTTTAATTTTCACCTTACAATTTGGAACACGACATGTCCCAACGTCACTTTTACTTGTCTTGTGACGTCGAAAATTAAAATTTGTTGCTACGGATTGATATTTTAGGTCTTCCATTATTTCTGAATTTTCATGCACTTCGTATACATGACATATCATTCGATAAACATGATCGATAAAATCAGGCTTTGAATCTTGTCTGCAAAATTCACATCTAAATAACTGATTACCCTCCGCATCTAATTCAGATTCCTTGTAAAATTGCACTGTATCCTGTGGTCGCTGTTGAGCCATGTTCGTTAACACCGTTCTCTATCACGGATTACTCACAACTAACTGCTTATTACTCGGAGAACTGTTTAATATTTCAAAATTGATCATAGCTAATAGGTCGAAAGATACACGTTTCCTTGTCTGAAAATGTAAATACCCATATCTTTAGTTTGTTTGTGCGTATTAAATATACCGTTTGACTGACAAATTTTATAATAAATCTTCAAGACTTAATAGTTTACTTTATCTATTGAATTTTATTATTTGTTTAATAGACTATTTTATTAAAGACTCAATTTTCACTCTTTAGATTAGAGTGAGATTCCACTCGGAATAAAAGGAATTTAATGAGTAGATATTTGTAAAATGACGAGCGGTTTTATCAAAGATTCGAGACTGTTTCGCCTTCGTTACTTGCTCAACGATTATGACAAAATCACATAATATTGTAATTAATATGAAAACAAGACTGAATATTAACGCGTGACATTAGACGATTCACGAATTATTATTTTTATGATTACATTGACGACGCATATATACTATATATATATTCTCCAATAATGCAAAGTATTGTCTCCTTGAAACAATTTATTAATGTAAAGATTTTGAAATATATTTACATAATACTCGTAGCAGTTAATAAAAATAGCTGAGGTATGCATGCTGAACGCGCAACACCGATTTTAATTAGTCAAAATTTTTGGAAAATTCAGAAGAATAAAAATTGTCAAATTTTATATAATAAATTTCTTGGTATAAAACTTTTTAAAATCCCGTTATTATGAAGTTTGGTTTATCTCGAAGAATTAATGCCCGAGAAACGTTATTTAAAAAATTACTATACGCATGTATTTTGTTATTTTTTAATATATTTCTTCGTAACCCCTATTCCATAAGGAAATCATTGTATCCATTTATTTTTAATAAGCGAAGATTTTTAGTAATGTGTGGTAGAACATATTTTCTTGTGAATTTTAATTTTATTAAAGATTCAATAAAAATGTTAATTGTAATTGACGTACTACTAAAATTGTTACTGTATAAGCGGTCTGAAAGATTCATATCCTCCTGTAACAAGATCATTGTGCTGGACGGATTGCTTAACTTTTCTTTGCGAATGAATCTTGTGAATTTGATGTTGAATCAGAATACATTAAGTTCATTCTCCACTATGATGATTGTTCTTCTTTGTATCAGATACTAAACTATCAAAAAGCACAGAGAGTTCAAAAGGATGCAAAAAGAATTTCAATGATATGTCATCAATTCTGAACTTATTTTCGGATGCAACATGAATTTTTTTCAGAACATTTCAGAAGAAGAATTCTTTTTGCATCTGAAAATAAATTCAGAATTGATGACATATCACTGAATTCTTATTGAGCTCTTTGTGGTACCTGGGTAACCAGTGAATTACAAGATACAAGGGGGGATGGAGCTTGGAGAGTTTCTATTTCTTTGTGGTAACCAGTGTATTACAAGACACAAGGGGGGGGGGGTGGAGCTTGGAGAGTTTCTATCTCGTTTTTGCTAAATTAAATTTTAAATTAACGATATACGATTGGAAAAGTTTGAAGTGTATTCAAAGTTTCTATAATTGTTAGTAATTATAAAGACTTTGGAATATACTTACATACTAAAAATTATGTTTGGTTAAAAACGGACTGAAAGTCTGTGTAAAGAAATATAACTATGTTATTCCATTTTTATGCAGATATTATATACAAAATTTGCTAAATTAAATTGTTTGGATATTCAATTTCGAGTTTCTTAAAATTCAATAACTTTTATTTCCACTGTAGGAAATTAAAATTTTTGTTTAACCCGTTAATAAATATTGTCTGAAAAGAATTCATGTTGCATTATGTCTCAGAACACTGAGGAGACAAGATTTTGTTTCATTTCTTTTCGCATTGTCTCTCATTTTCACGTACTATTTGCATCCGAAACTCTTTTAATTCTTGACTCAAGGGTCAAACTCATATTTGCGTTCTCCGTTCTCTTTTAATCAAAAGATTTTCATTCGATTTACTAAAATTGACATCATAAGCATTGTAATGATTGACTGCAAGTAGCTTCTATTATGTGTACGTTCTTTTTCCGTTATATATTATAAATATGTACATTATGATATTCGTGTTCTTGTTACCAGCGTCAGAACGAAATAGATAATTTATTATGTTTTTGTTTTCTTTTCCGACTGTAACTATTTTGTTTTTAACATTGAAAATGATCCGATCGCGATCGAAACGTCTGCTAGCTTTCTATATTAAATCTTTAACTTAAAACATTTCTGTTTCTTTTACTTTTTTTTTACATTCTGTGTTATCATGTTTATTTTATATAATAATTTTTGGCTCTTAGTCCTCTTTTTTCTTTGTTTAATAAATATTGTATTAAAAGAATTATTAAATAAAAATGTAATGGTTTTTATTGCAGAATCAGAGTTCGGGTTTTCTTCAATTATACGCAAATTTTGAATTGTGAAATGCATACATTTTGTATACGATCTTATATATACCTACACACACACACGCGCGCGCGCTCATGTAATCATCTGTAATCATTGTAAAACAAGATTTTAGAATTTGGATGTCTTTAAGTTTCATTTAGATAAGCTTTTTAATCTTGTTTATTATTATTTTATTTAAAAAAATTGATATTTGGCAATAAATTCTTCATGTAGTGATAGAGTACTCTAAGAAAGAGTACTAATAGAGGCCGTACTAATAGAAATATACGGGATATGTTGAATTGCTTAATTACAGAAGTTAGATTTAATAATCGAAAAATCATAAAATGTAGAATTTGTAATATAAGATATCCAGGATATTTCAAATATGAAATAACCCATGCTTCTATGGCATAATGAAAATCGTTGCTAAAGTATAAATTTCATTGTGCAATAATAAAAAAAACAACCGGAATGAACGTCAAGTGCCTATTTCTGCGATGCTTGATTCCAACTACCTGAAGACGAGTTCTGGGTACAATCTATCGTATGCTCATATTATGCTCATATTTCGCACACGCTGTCTGCGTTTGATTGTATCTTAGAAACATTAAATAATGTTTTTTTTAATTGCAACTGCATACTGATATCCTTTGCATTTTACTATCGATTTCTCGGGGCATCTCAGATTAGGAGCACAATTTTTTGACTTTGGGATTTGCTTTTTACATTTCTTTAATTTTCAAAAATAATGGAATTTGAATATAATTTTATATCTTAAAGCTTATTAAATGCCTTTCAAAATGATCAATTATTATTTTTTTTAATTTTGCCTTCTAGCATTTACCCAAAATAAATTCAGTATCTCATAATAGAGACCTTTCCTCTATCAATATTGAATATAGATATATAAAATATTAGGTCGAATTGAAGAAAATGGCTGCAGAAGGTTATATATTCGCCAAGTTACCGAAATGTTATCTAATGCCGCAGCTTCAGGATTGGGTCATGTACAGGCAGGGTGTTGTTTTCTCGGAAACAGACAAAAGTATAACTTTGATAGCAGAACTAATCGTTTTTTATTTTTCATTTGGTAAAAACAGAGCAGTCTTTATAATACTACAATAATAGGTATTTGAGACAGTATTAAAATTTGTATTTTAATGCGAAATAATTAGTGAAATATAAAGTAAAATATTTAGAAATAAAAATATAAATTTAGAAAAACAAATATAAAAATACCCGCAATAAGAAGTTCACTATGTACTATAATTTAGAGTAGTCTATTTTTTGTGAGGGTGAATATATTTATAAAAAGAAAGAGAACTATCGATATAATTATTCGATGGAGTAATGGTCCTCTAAAAAAAATCCAGCGCTTTTCATTAGCAGAATTGGAATCGATAATGTTTAACGAATTATATACGAAACAAATTAAACCGCAAAATTCTCATACATACAAGTACATTTTATTTGATAAAATATACATTAGGCTGTTTGATAATATGTATTATACATTTATCAATTGAGATACTCACTTTTATATTCAAATTAGATTACACTACGTGTTAGCTCTGAATCGTGAAAGCTCTGCTTTTTTGCATACATGACGATGCGCGCAAAGAAGAATTCTTATTGGGTATATTCATAACAACCATTCAACACAAGCTGAACGCTCAATGAATTTGGTATCATATTTTAACATAGTACTTGGAATTCAACAAATTTCACATATTGCATTGTGAATTTGAATATAAACAACAATACCCACTTTTTAGCGTAAATAAATATATCAAATTAAAATAAATATATCAAATTAATAGGGATTTCAACGATTTCAGCGTTTATTTATTTTCATCAGAAGCAAAAGTGAAAAAAAAAAAATATTGTGCAATTTGCATCCTTCTTCAGAGAACAGTAATGTGCGGGGGCATTTTACAGGAAAAAAGTCCTTATGTCTTCCACTCAGGTTTCAGCATCTCAGTATCTCGGTGCTGGTGACTATGATTAAAATTTAAAATTCGTAAAATTTAGTAGTATCTCTAATAAATATTGCGACATTAAGTCCATGGCCATACATATTATGCATTTAAGTAAAAGCGTAATATATTTTCGCATCTAAAATAGATAAAAATAAATGAATAAATGAAAAATGTCGGACCAATAATAAACCGGATAAAAGGTATCCAGATTCTCTACGCGGACAGAGACGCGGCTGCCATCTTGCGTCGAGAACGAATTGTCGGCGCGTTTATTACCGACGGCGTTTTTGGATTGCGCAAGAGCTTTGGTCGTGCGACGATAGTTGAAATACGTCATTGTATTGTATGGCGAACGTTGCATCGTTCAGTTGATCGTGAGGAGCGCTCTTGTGTTTTCGCTCGGCCGGTGGGAGTGGTATCGTGTTATCGTCGCGACGGAGCTAATTGCGGCAATTTACGTTGTCGCCAGCGACAATAATAGCGAGGCACATCGTCTCGAAAGAGAGGAAGAGAAAGAAGGAAAGAAAGAGCGCACAACGACATCCGTTTCACGCCAGGGTACTTTATTCCGCGGAGAAATCGCG